CTTAAAGACCTAGAGATAATGGAGCAAACTGAAAGGAAGTTTAATATAGTTAAAATCTTCAAGAAGATAAAAGAAAGAACAGCATCTATAAAACCAGAACAGGAAGATACCAAACAGGAACATGTAGCCGACATGACAAGAATTATCTAGAAATTTTAGAAATAAAAACAAAAGTCACTGACGTTAAAAAGAAAAACTCAGATGGGTTAATAGAGCAAATACAGCTGGAGAGAGAATTGGTGGATTAGAAACTAAACCTGAAAAAATCCTCCAGAGTGAAGCACAGAACAATAAAGAGATTAAACATATGAAAGAAAAGAGACATAGAAGATTGAACAAGAAATTCCAGCATATATATTATTAGTTCCAAGAAAAGATACTGGAAAGGGTAACTAAGCTCTTTCAAGAAATAAGACATGAATTTCTAGGTTTGAAAGGCCCATAGACTGCCTAATAAGATATCTTTAAAAACAAAACAAAAATACATCTAGACACCTTGTAGCCAAAGTGTAGAATATCAACGATAAAATGGAAATTCTAAGAGCTATCAGAGAGAAAAGATAGCTTATCTACAAAGGTCCAATAATTGAACTGACAGTAAGCTTCTCATCAGCAACAACAGATGCCAAAAGGCAATGGAATAGTATCTTCAGAGTGCTCAGGGCAAATAACCGTGAACCCAGAATTCTGTACATTGCTAAACCATTTACATAAAAAGCAAAATAAAGACATTTTAACACATGCAAGATCTTAGCTTCTGTCTCACAGACCTTCACTGAAAGAGAAAGGCACAGGAGCTTGGGGAGAGGCTGGGAGCTGGAGAAGTGATGGGGCTAAGTGGAGGGCCAGGGCTGCGAGGGGTGGGGGTGGGGACTGGATTGTTTCGGATCTCTCCTCAGCACCAGCCAGCCAGAGGAGCCCAGCCCAGCCTGGCCCAGCTGGGGCCCAGCTCAAGTTCTCCCCTCCTGAGTGCCAGCCATGCTGTCTTATCCCTCTTCCTGGGCTGTGGTAGTAGCCCGGCATATAAGCTAGAGGGTAATGCTGCCAGCCCAGCTCAGAGGACCTTGAGGAAGCCACACCCAAGTTGCTCATGTAACCAGGCACTTGACCTTCACCCTAGAGTCCTCTCCTCCTGTGAGGTCAGATGCTGCCTTACAGATAGATGCCTATGGATGGCTGGAGAAGTGAGACAAAGTCTAGGTCCCTACCTAGGAGTAGGGGGTTGAGAACTTTCATTCTCTGTGGAAAAAAGAATCAGGAGCAGAGGGGATGAGACTAATGAGGCTGAGCCAGTGGGGACAGAAGGCTTCTTAGAGCATTGGCTCTACTCAATGAGCTGGTGCCCTAAGGTAATTTCTTAACCTCTTTGAGCCTCAGTTTCTCACTTATAAAATGGGGAGAATACCTACCTAATGAGGATATGAAGATGAAATGAGATAATCCATTTAGGTACCAAGTTTTAACATCGTCTTACACCAAAATTTCTTAAAAGAATAATCTCCATCTACTACCCCTCCCCAGCATATTATCAGTGTTCAATAAAAAGTTGTTAAGAAAAAAGCAACAGTAAAAAGCAGAGGTGGAAAGGCGTGCAGTGTTGGAGGCCCTAACTGCGGGGGACGGGTTCATGTTCATTCACTTACTCATCAGTTACTGTTATTCTCTTGGTGTCAGGCCCTGTGCTGCACTCATGAGGCGCAGAGATGACCCTGAACAGGAGCAGAACCATCTGTAAGGAAGACGGCCAACTAGAAAATTCTAAGAGTGATAGGGGGTCTCTTCAGGGCCTAACTTGTCTTGGGTTGTCTTCTCTTTCCCATTCCCTCTCCCACCTCTTCCCCCAACCCAATATAAGTTTCATGATAACACAAACTTCGCCTGACTTGTTTTCAGCTGTCTTCCCAATGTCCAAAACAATGTCTGACACACGGAAAATGCCAAAGACATATTTGCTGAATGACTGTGTATTTGAGTACTAATAATAGAGGCTGTAGAAGTTGCTATGGAAGCATCAAAGAGATCTTCATTAGCTGCACCAGGAATTAGAGATCTCTCAGCAAGGGCCATTAAACTGGGCTTTGATGGATGTATAGGAGATCATTAAGTGGAAAAGAAAGGCAAAGGACATTCCAGGCATCGGGGCCAGTACATTCTGAAAACATGGGAGTTCAGGGACTAGTGAGTAATTGAGTGTGGCAAGAGCGCAAAGCGCAGGAGAGGAGAGTGGAAAGACACAAAGCTGGGAAGATAGGGTCTTAAATGAACTTGTCAGAAAGTCCTTATTAAAATCTAACCACCTACCCTGATCTAATACTCTGGAGAGGGTAGCGTTTCCAGTCCTTGCTGTTGCCCCAAGGAAGCCCCTCCCTTCAAAAGTTAAGGATCTTATTAGGAAGGGGCTATGGATCTAGTACCCACCGAGAAAGGGGACAGTCATAACCCCACAGTTTCTTGAATTGTCTCAGGTTGGATGAGGGTGGGACGGGGTATCTCCCAGAGACTTGGTTGAGTGCTACATGCTGCCCCCTTGTGGCCTCAGCAGAACTGAACAGCGAACAGGCCAGGCAGGTGGTCTGTTGGTAATCCCAGGGGCCTCCAGTCTCCTGCATCAGCCTCCAGGAAATTATCCCAACTACCAGCTGTTCACAGACCAGATCCAATTGCTTTATTTATTCCACATATATTCAAGGCTGGGCCAAAGAGTTTGGGGAGGAAACGCAAAAGGAGTCAGTTTGCATTTAGTAAAAGCTTGTTCTTACACACTTACACACACAAACACACACCCTTTGGCCACTATGCAATGGAAATCAGGAGACCAATGTTTTGGTTTCAGCCCCACCCCTATTCATAGAGTGACCTTGGGAAAGTCACTGCACTTCGCTGGGCCTCCCACGTCTCCTTCTGCAACACAGGGATCACGATCCTTCTTCCTGTCTCCCCTGCAGGGTCACCGTAAAGATCATTAGGAGGTCGAATGCTGCAAGTGCTAGGAAAAATGTTTAGAGTGCTCCGGATGTAAGGGGATCGTGCTGGGTATTAGCTGGGGCTCTCTTGGGCTGCGCCGAAGTGTTTGTTTACACCGGGATGGGACCTGCTGGCCAGGAAATTTAAAGGGAACGTGCTCAGCAAGGAAGCTACTTGCCAATAAGACTGGAAGTCTATGGGAAAATGGGGACCCATTGACTGGCCTGCATTTCCAATTATGCTTAAGTTTTCAGGAATGAGTCAGAGCAACAAGGTGGGAAAATACAGTGGCCTCGACATGGGTTAGCCAGGAAATGAAATAGCTGAGCTTCTGCCATTTCCCTGAGGCCAGTGCTCCTTCTGTGAACTGGAGTTTATGCTCCTTCTTGCACTCTCTTCACGAAGCTATCAGTGAATGCTTGCATGTCTGAGACGTTTGGGTACAGGACAGTGGGTAAAGCCAGATAACCTCCTTCAAAGTCCAGAGCTAGAATGAACACAGGAGGAAGGGCGCTGAACTTGGGAGTCAGATGCCTGTGGTGCTGCGCCAGACTCACTATGGGGACGGACCTACTGACTTCTCCTGGTGATAGTGTCTGCTCCACCTAGCCTGATGACAGAGAAGTACCATGTATCCCAAACCTCAGAACTAGTAAATTCTTTGCTTTTGCAAAAGAATGTTATTTTTCTTTTTATAGTGTGAATCTCTTATCTGGTCCCAGCTGTTTTTGTTTGGTGGCTAAGAAGCTAAAGATGAAATATGAAACCTAATTCTAACAACTAGGTAGATCTTTACAGCCAGACTACTACTTTTTTATGACCGATGAAGGAGAATGCTCTATTCTTCCTGCTTCAATCAACAGGACACCAGTACCTGGCTGTAGACCCCTTCTAATCCACTGGCTGACAAGGGACTTGGGCTGCCCTCCATGGCAGATGCCACTGGACATGGCCATAGCAGTCAACTCCAAGTGTCAGCCTGCATGTGCCAAGGCAGAAGAGGAGGGATTTACCCGGACCCTTATTTGAAAGGTAAGGATAGCTTTCTCTATGACAGATGCTCTCTTGACCCTCAACCCAACAGGATACAACTGAATCAGGCCCATGTGTGGTTGTCCATGAAGTAAGGCAGGCAGGCATCTCTGAGCAGCAAATAGATTCTGATGAAGTTCATTTTAAAAATCAGCTGAAGATCTCAGTTTGAATCACATATGTAGCATAAGCTTTTTGTCCCTTAGCTTTTTTTCACAAGGATCCCCCTCCTTCAAGACACCCAACCTGAAGGCAAATCTTTCCAAGCCTTTCCCAAGCAAAGTGGCCCATGAATGCCACAGACACAGAAACTCAGACTCTATATTATCTAAAATGAGATTTATTGCATATCATGCAGTTTGAAGTCCATGCAGCACAGGAGACTAGCACAATTTTGAATGCATTTAAAAAATAAAATAAAAAATGGGGTGAGAAGGAAGTAAATGCACAAAGTTGTAGTCTCCTTGGGTCCCTGGGAGAGCAGGATTTGAGAATGAAACTATCCACTCTCCATGGTGAATGAGTTCATCTCTTAAATCAAGGAATGTCTCCATGGTCTCTGGATGCAAATACACAAAGCTCTGGGGCAGGAGCAGGGACAAGGGGGAGACGACCATTAATGAAAAAAAAACTACGAGCATTCACCTAATTTAATCTGAGGGCAGTACAGGTTGGCAAATCCTGGGGGCATCAGCTGTTCCAAGAATCAGGAGATAACATACACCTGTGAGAAGATTTGCTCCTAAAAAGAAGTGGTGGTAAGAACCAAATACACAAAGCTCTGGGGCAGGAGCAGGGACAAGGGGGAGACGACCATTAATGAAAAAAAAACTACGAGCATTCACCTAATTTAATCTGAGGGCAGTACAGGTTGGCAAATCCTGGGGGCATCAGCTGTTCCAAGAATCAGGAGATAACATACACCTGTGAGAAGATTTGCTCCTAAAAAGAAGTGGTGGTAAGAACCAAAAAAAAAAAGAAAAAAAAAATCTTCAACCACACTCTTCAAGAAAATGCCATAAATATGTTATTTAATATTTTCATTTCATAGCATTGGACACACAGCTCAGCATACTGAAATACTGATTCCTTGGAGAAGAAAAAGTGGAAAAGAAAATAAAAAATATTGCATCCTTCTTTTGGAGAATCTTGGCCCCCAGGCATGAGGCGTAGTGCACCAGTGTCCTAGCCTGCGGGAGGCGTTCAGGTCGGCCGGGTCCTCTGGGGAGGGACGCTGTGCCCACTGCCTGGGGCTTTATGGCAAAAATTGTGTTGGGTGTCCTTGGCCTTGCCAGCTCAAGCCCTCAGTCTCCGGTCACCTGGGGGGCCTGCCCGTCGGAGGGCTGGTTGGCTGACTGGATGAACATGGGTTGGGCGAGGTCCTGGCCGGCAGGCATGGTGACTTGCTGGATCTGGTAGAGCTGCTGCGAGGGGTGGAGAGGAGAGAGTGAGGTCACCCCTGGGAGAGGGGCATGCAGCTCCCTATGGGCCTCGAGTTGGTTGGGGGCCCCAGATACCTCAACCACCACCCACTGCAAGGCGTCGGAGGGAGGAGGGGATGTAGAGCTCTGCTGGGGGTGGGAGCAGCAGACACAGGAGGCACCAGCACGGTGTGAGGGTGTGTGTGTAGTGGGCGGGGAAGAGGTGCAGGGAGTTGCATTTCCTGTGGCTTTCACTTCTCTGGGCTCTGCCTCTCCCGTTAGCTCAGAGCCTCGAGCTTGCTGCACGCTGTTCCTCTGTGATAAACACAAGCAATTCGAACCACTGTACCAGCAGCTTGGAAGTCAGCATTTCCCCAACTCTCAGTAATCCTCACTGGCAGGGGCAGTAGGATTGCCCTCTCTTCCTTTCCTCAGAATATCTGGCTCAGGTGGAGGTTACACCGAACCCGTAGTTCTACATGGGCCCTGCTGTGGAGGTCGCCTGGGATTACACACTTCCTACAGCGAAGACCCGTGAGGGGGTGAAGAAAATGCACACATAGCTACTATGGAAGGTTTGGTTTCTCAGGCGTTCTCCAAAAGAAACCAAAAGCCAAGACCCTCTGCCACAGGAGCCCTGGTATGTGAGCCTAGCACCTGGTGCCAGCAGAAGTCAGAGGTGGGTGATGCAGCTCCTCTCCCTTCTGGACAGCAGAGAACACGAGCTTGGGCGTGTCGCCCTATCACGTCCTCAGGGGTGTCTGGGACCACAGGAGGAGGGGAAAGGCGGAGAGAAAGGGAGGATTCTTTCCTTGCATGGGTTTAGAATGACTGAATTCCAAGCACTGAGAGAGGTTGAGAGGTCACATGTTCTCTGCATTTCAACTAATCCATACGATTAAAAAACAACAGAGCTTCGAGTAAAACTAATCCTAGAGAGGGAAACAGGAGGCCTGTGTTCTAGTCCTGGTTCTGCAATGAACAGCTGAGCAAGCATGGACAAGGCAATTCCCAGCTCTAGGGCTCAATTTACTCATCTGTAAAATGGGGGCTTGGGCTATATAATGTCTAAGATTAAGTTCAGCTCCCACAAGTCTAAATCTAAAGGACAGGCACCCTGATTTAAAGACAGTACTTGTTTCAACAATTTCTGTCCACCTGTTTTTAACAGAAGATGGGACAGTGGCCCTAACCATCCAAACCCACGGATGTCATTCTCTAATTCTCCCAACTTCTCATTCTCTGCCCCTGCCCAGGCTGGGTGTCCTACCTGTCCATCTGTGAACTGGCTGAACTGCTGCTGTCCTTGCTGGACTTCTGTCTGTGTGATCTGTAGGAATTGAGACAGCAGAACAGGCAGGTCAGCTGCAGGGTCTGGTCCACCAGCCCGCCTCCAAGGAGAGGGTCGTGAAGAGCAAATGAGACAATGCATATAAAGTGCTCAGAATGAGGTCTGGCACAGAACAGATGCTTGACATGTAGCAGGAAAGCAAGGGTCCCTCCCCATCCCCTAGCACTGAAGGCTACTCAGACTCGGCACCACACAGAGGACCCTGGAGCACATAACACACAGCTTCTACAATCACCTCTCTTAATGGCTGCCCACTTCCCTCCTCCCAAGGTCTTTCCAGGGCCTGAGGCTCAAATCAATCAAACGAAACACTGAGCTCCTAGGTGCTGATATGAGCGAGGCATAACATTTATGGTTTAGGCAGAAACCCTAAGAGTCTTTCAGCCAGTGAAGGCAGATTGCAAAACACTGGGCAAAGTGGTGAGTGGTCCCTTTCATTCTTGGAAGGTGGGCTCCAAACCAAACCCGTATCACCCAGATTATCTGACGGGAATATGAAACACCCTGGCGAGCAGGTGGCCTTGGCCCTAGAAGCCCTTGTGGCAAACATACAAAGTACTTTTTCCGATAGTAGCCACGTGCAGCCCTCTAGGCAAGGAGGAGGGGGGTAAGCAAGGAAAACATTTATCACATGAACTTAAAATATTATGTGTGGATTTTAAAATAAATTAACTGATATGTAGAATTGCACTGTATGATGCAGGCTGTTGGAGACAGCTCGGCAGACTAGAAAGAAGACTGAAGCATGCTTGTGTAAATGTGTATCTGTGGAACATGTGACTAGTAATGTCTTCTGTGTACCATCTCCTGGAATCATTACAGCCAACCTCTCGAGTGTCCTTGCAACAGCCAAAAACTACCCGTCAGGCCTACCCAGGAGGCAATGAGGAGCAAGAAGGGGACAGGTGTAAAAGGGTTTCATAGAAGTTTCTTACGACTGTTCCTTGTTTTGGGTCTTTCTCCTCCTACCAGTCTAAAAGCTGCTTGAGGGCAGAGGCTAAGTTTTGTCTTTATACCTCCCAGTGCAAAGTAAGTGCTCAAGAAATGTCTGCAGAATAAAGGAATGACCCTGAGATAAATGAAAAATATTCCTCATAGATGAGGTTAACTGTGCCCTGTGGCCAGCAGGATTGCTCAACATATCCGCTGAGAAGAAAGTTAAATTCCATTTACATATTATTTATTCAGCATTCATTCAACAAACATTTACTGAGCACCTAAGTACCAGCTGTCACAATTACAATCTGTTGTTATGTAGACTCTGACTGCCCTCAGGTGCCCTCTTCTCGGTTCTCCTCCTCTTTTCTGTATACCCAACTCTCCCTACTTTCTGGCTTTAGTTTCTGGTGCCAAAACTGACCTCTGGGAAACCAAAATCTCTATCTTCTCATTTCCTCCCACTCCATGCCATAGAAAATTTTTGGATCTCAGGTTAGAATCTTTTTTTAAAAAAGAGAGGGGTGCCCAAGGGTGTGACCAGTCTTGAGATCTTATTCCATGTCAGTGAGCCCCAAGGAAATTAGGGTAAAGCCCAAGTCCTTATGTGAGCCTTTAATGATCCCAGAGACTATAGGGAACTTTGAAGCCTTGCTTTTGGCACATTCCTCATATTTTCCCAAATGAGATCTTTGGAGACCTGCTCTATAAACTCAGTCCTGTCACCACTGTCAATAGATACATCACCAAAAATGCAACTGGGCCAGACAGGTCCAGCTCTTAAACGATCGCTGCTTTTTTTGGGTCTGAGGCAAAAGAATCCATTAACAATGCCTCCCTTTGACCAGCATCCTCCATCCCCTGCACAACATGCATAAGTCCCCCAACCCCCAAGCCCAGGGAGGCAGCCCCCTCAGTACCTGTGGCTCACAGCCTTCAATATACTAGGGTATGAGAGGAGATGGCAGGGCGGGGAGGCAATCTCTGGTTAGAAATGTATGGTGGGAATAAAATCTAAGTTCGCTTTCCAAAGGGCACCAGAGGTGCCAGAACAGCTATTCAGTTTTAAAGATGGAAATTCAGCCTGACGATGAGGCAGTTTGTCAAAATGCTTCCTCTGGTCAGGCATGCGTGCATATACATCAGGCTTTCTTCAAGTATCCTTGAGACCTCTCTGCCGTGCATCTCTTTGTCGCTTGAGAACTTGATGGTAAGAGATGCACTTTGTATACAATCCATCAAAAAACCCCACTTTGTCCCTTGGGATGCAGGGATGCAGAATAGATGTGCAGGGTATAGAGGTGGCTCTTGCTGAAGGATAAGGGGGTGAGAGAAAGTTGTGTGCTGAGCATTCTTTTGCAGCCAGAAGCCAGCTCCTGCTGGTCCCCAACTCTAACCCAAGCCCCACATCTCTGGGGCACATACCTGTTGAGCATTGGTGGCAAGTGTCTGGATCTGTCCCTGCACAACTTGGGTGCCTGATACAGGCTGGGCTAAGCGAATATACTGCAGCTGGCCGGCATTCAGCTGCACCTAGGGCAGAGGCAGAGACAAACAGACCACAGGAGATTCAGTATGACTTCAGATGGGCAAACTTTTTATGACCTGAGATGGTGACCGTCTCCTACCCCAACAAGTCCTCCAAAGAAGCCTACTATAAAAAGTTCCTTTTTAACAGAGATCAATACAAGCAAAACCATAACATCTCCACCCTGAAAGTCACACAGCACAAAAGAGGATATGTTCCCTGAATGGACTTTGGAAAAAATTCCCAAAGGATCTTGTCGCATATGTGAGAACAGCATGACTGCAACCTCAAAATTTGCTGGCTCTTAGCTCTTTGCTCAGTTTAGGCAGTCAGGCGTCTGACATTATCAGATGCTGTACCTTCAGTGTAGGCCCTTCTCCCCTCCATTTCCACACATGCTTCACCCCAGTTCCTGGAAATGCTGATCTAACACAAAAGAGTTCCAGCATTTGCCAAGAGCCCAAAGCAGATGGCCATCACCCTGCACCACAGCCCCGGTACTGCCCAACTCCAAGCTGCATGTCTTGGAAGAAAAAGCTGGCCTGCTTTACTATCGCTGTCCCCAAGAGCCAGGACCAATGGGGGTCTGTGGGACTTTTAGGATCCTTGGTGTTCAGCACTAGCTTCTGGCCAAACATCTCCCAAGAGGAAGCTGAATCAATAAAACATTCACAGAAAACCCCATCATGGGAAACCAAAGCTACAAAAATGCCCTTAGAGTCCCTCATGCTTAAGATTAAGTCTCAGATAATACAATAATACCACATGCTGCATTTAATTGTGTGCTAAAAGCCTTAACTCAGGCTCTTAATGCTCCGGTGTACCGTGAAAGTTTTAGTGCTTTGAGCATGGGGATGAAGAAAGGACCAAGGCAGTTACAATGCAAGAGGAACTGTAGCTCAGCAGAGAAAACAGTCAGCAAAGGAGGACTGTAGGCATTTACACCCGGGATTTGGGGGATGAAAGAGGTTCCAGGAGGTTGGCAGATGGGCCCAGACACCACCCTCCCTGGCCGCCCAGACTGTCTTTATTGCAAGGGTGAGCTTCTTGAGGTGGACAGACAAGTCGTACCTCTTTGTTCTGGACTGAATGTTCTCCATGCCTTCAAGAGCTAATGTCACTGTAGGGATTTTTGCTTCCATGAAGAAGAGGTTGATAGGAGGAAGCTTCACTCCTATGTGCAGTGTTAAACCAAACTGGTTTTCTAAAACTGCCAGCCTCTAACAGGATTGGAACCAAGAAAGACTAATCCTGAAGTCCTTGGTAGACCATTCCAAAATTGTCCACTTAAGGCAAGTTGGAGAGCTACAAAATCTAAACCTGTTAAGAATTTGGTTCAAAACAGATAGGGCACGATATTGTGACCTACATTCATTTAATTCCTGAGAATATACCAAGAGGAGCTGTCGAGAAGCTGCTGCCAAGCCTCAACTCCCCACTCAATCCCATGAAGCAGCTTCTAGGCAACAACACAAGATGCCTGTGGGGATGAAGACAGCTGGGTGGAGGCTTGGGAGACCTCATTTGCTGATACTGATGATATCTGGTTCCAGGAGTCACCAGAACTCTAGCCAAGCACACGGGATAAAAGACTAACGCCCTGTCCCAGGAATGGGGAGAAGTGTACTGATGGCCATAGCAACTGTCCATTTCCCAGCTGGAAAAAGCTCTCTGCAGAAACTCAAATGTGACTGAAAAGCTGTGAGCCAAACAGTTCCAAGCAGTTCTTAGAAGCAAGAAGCTCTTCTTTTAGGCTTAGGTTTAGACATTTGGTGATACTCTTCCCTCAGTCCTCTACCACGAGGATAGGTCTGGGGAGCCACACAGCTTTTTTAATGTCAGTGCAGAGCAAATAAGACTACTCCTTGGGCTTTTAAAAGAGAAGCAAAGTTTCCTTTCTGAAGGTCATCACTATCACAAGCTTTCTGATGAGTTCAGAAATGCAGACTCCTGCAGAAGGTATCTCAGAACAGTAAAGTCTAGGTCCTGAATTCTACAACAAAACTTCTGTGCTAAAGCTCTGCCCTAGAGGATTGAAAATACTAGAGTTAAAGCTACTGCAAAGCAGGAACTCTTCTCTGGCTTAAATGAACTTGTTTTGGTTTCTTTACATAAACGAAAACCATTCAAGAGGTCTTCGGGTTGGTGGTTCAAAGGTACGTGGAATTGATATAGTGTGTGTGTATGAGAGAGAGAGAGACAGACAGACATACAGAGACACACACACAAAGACACACACACTCTAACACTCTACTTTCCTAAGCTTTCTCTTGGCCTATTACTCTGTTAATAAAAAAACAGTTTCAAAAACAGAGTTGAGGATACTTTTTGAGCTTTTTTCAAAGAGAAAGTGGTTAATAAAGTCCAAGTAAATTTCTCTATCTGCCTACATTTCATTTAAAATAGGATAGGCAAGAGGCAGAAAATAAGGCTGCTCCTTGTCACTTACTTTCCACATTTTTGGTGGCAAGATGACCGATGTATAGATGGCAAGTGTTACAACAGGGCATTTTTTACAAAAGAATAAGCACACGTAAAAAAGCCAACAAATCTGAGAAATGAAATCCCTCAAGCACACAGGAAGCAGCAGTCCACAGTGAAGGAATGGGTAAGTTAAATGAAAGCCAAAAATACAATTTGCTGCAGGCTCCACTGGGAACTGACTCATGAATATGCAACAAGTGTATTTATGGCCTTCCCTATATACCTCCCTCTTATTCTCTGCTAATCAAAAGACAGGATTGCCTCACAGGGCCTTTGGGCCTTGGCATGGAATAGTGGTTACAATGATTTCTCTGTGTAGGCAGAGTGAGGAGAAATCAAGAGGAGCTGCCCCATGGTGGTGAACCTGAACCTGGGTTAAGGGAAAGCAGTGAGTATGCAGTGAAGCAAGTTGTGGTCTGGGGTAGAAGGAATATAGGTTAAAAAAAAAAAGTATGAATACACGTATGTGTATGTTACATACATCCACACTCAAAATATATATACACACACACATATACACATTTTGTGTGTGCATGTGTATGTGTGTATTAAGGTATAAAAATCTTTAAGTATTTCCTGTTATAACGTTGAGCACAGTGCCATGCAGACCTTGAGGTAGGACAGGGCTTACCGGGATCTGCTGGATCTCTCCTGTGTTTGTGATGATCTGCTGCATCACCTGCATAGTCTGTCCAGTGCCGCTCTGGGCCTGCTGGGCTTGACCCTGCGGCTGGGCCTGGACAATCTGTACCTGCTGACCTTCTCCAACCTGCATGGTCACTGGTGTGCTCTAGAAAGAAAAGTCATGAGAAAGCTGACTGAGGTATGGCTCAGAGTCAGTCGGCTTACCAAGGGGTTAATAATGAGTGTTGACTAGGAGCAAACCCTCTCCATGAATGCCTGAACTCATCTGAGCACTAAAAATAATATTCAACCTACAGAGTCTTTTGGGGTTAGAATACTGCTAAAGTTACTCTCCAAAATAGAAGATGAGAAAGCCAGATTTTTAGGCTCATAGTACAGAATATTTGCCTAGGCCCTAAACATCTCTATGCTTCAAATGTTGCGACTTTGCACAGCCACTTCAAAGACAGTGAAGCACATACGGTCCAAAAGAATCAAAAGCAACCATGACAGTTCACTTGAGAAATAGCCAAAATCAAGTCTGGAGCAGGTGAATTTGGAGGGCGAACTACATGGAAAACGGGGTCAGAATGAATTTACTAAATTCAGGATTCTAGGTTCCTCCTTAGGTTTGCAGGACATTGGAAAGAAATACAGCACACACTTGTTTTGGCCCCATTCGGGCAGCAGAGTGACTCCAGCCCACACTGGCCAGCTGGCTGCTGTGGATCACAGCACGGCTTCCCATGGGAGAGGCAAATGGGTTAACAAAATGTGGACGACGCACACTGTTAAGATCTGGATCTTAACTGAGGCTACTCCTATGTAACAGAATTTAATAAAGCAAGAATTTTAACTTTCTAGAAACAGGAATCTCAGATGTAAGAAATTTCTGTCCAAATGTATACGACTTGGCAGATTCTGTGTATCTTTCACACACTTAGTGGATTGTAGCCCTATGAAACTTAACATTTTTGAGAGACTTGTCCTGTCACACACACAAAGAAAACAACCAAAAAAAATATATTTTTTTTTAATTAAAAAAAAAAAAAAAAAAAAAGATGACCTGTCAGAAAGGTCAGTAAGTCACTTTTTCAAATCTCAAAACCTCAGCCCTAGATGTGACCTTTATAGCATATCTTGCTCATCTGGCGGGGCGGGGGGAGGAGGGGAGGGAAAGGGCGGTGCATGGAGAGTTGTGAGTGGTGGTGGTGGTGAGTGGTAGGGAGTGGTATTGAGGAGTAGTAAGAGGAGGGTAGAGCCATTTAAACTATACCCACAACCCCAGACCCCCAATTTGGCTATCTCTCCACTCTTCAGTAAGAGGACTCTGGGATTCTCAATGAATCATGGGCTTCAATCGATAATGCTATTCTGATGCTCTTACATTCTGATTGTATAGGTCTATTATGCATCTCAAGTTACAAGGATGGAGGTGTGTTCTGGGAACTACATATGAGATTCAAGGGATTACAAAGTGAAGAGAAATTACTATAAACTGGAGGAGGGTAGGGAAGAAAGATGACAGGGACCTATGTAAAAATACATGTATGTAGTGAGCTAGGACAACAGGAAACATCTGTTCTTACACCATGATTTTCAACTCAGCATACTCCCCAAACCTCCAGAAATAAAGGTTTCTTATTTCATGACAGAAAACACAGGATTCACTTAACCAAAATATGCTTTCCTTCCAACTTTAATCTGTATTCTGTCCTGCAAAGGATATCTGAACTCAATTTGAAATAGCCATTACTACAGAGGTCCAGGGAGGTGTCACAGAGCACAAGGCTATCCTGAACCAGAAAGATAATGAAACAACAGCTGTAAGATGTTGGGAGAGACCAATTCACCATCCTCGCAAGCCTTATCAGCTCCAATCTGAGCAAGTCTGAGATGCAAAGAAGTAGATAGATGAAATTCTCACTGACAAAAAAAAATGCGTACTGCCAACTCATCACTGTATTCTATCCAGTCAATTTTCCTGAGAGAATTTCTAAAGTATTTCTAAATCATTTCAAGAAAATGAGGGCTTGTGTTAGCATGGCAGCTGTCAAATCATGTATGGTGTGCCCTGTAGTTGGGGCACAACAGCCATGAGCTTCTCAGGATGATCAACCAATCAGAGCCAGCTCTTGGCAGACTCCCTTGAAGTTCACTCTGGAAAGGGATAAAGCCTTTGGCAGGTATAGCTCTCACCATTGCAGAAGTAAAGCAAGAGCCAAAGAAGGTCCCTTAGGCATCACGGTGCAGTGAACTCCTTGAGGCAGAGACCTGGCTACAATTATCTTTGAACCCCTCTTGCCTAGCATGGTGCCTGGCAAAGACCAAGCATTCAATAAATTTTTGTAACATGGATTAAAAAATGAGCAGGGAATAGATCCTAAAGTTATAATTAATATTTAAATCTATCTCCACCCCAATTTTCTTTCTTCTAGGCAAACCCAGTTCCATACTAGAATACACAAAGCTGTCTAGGACATGTCCTCTGCCTATCTTTTCAGACTTGCCTAGATGCTTCCCTATGCTGACTGTACTCTCTCACCACTCCCTGTGCTGTTTCTCACCTCCAATCAAGCCTTTGCTTGTGCTGAGCCCTCTACTGGGAAAGCCTCCTTCTCCTCTCTGATTTATTTCCATTATTCCCTCTAAGACTCATATTAGTCCTTTCAGGAAACCTCAGACATCGTCTTCTACCACCTCCCTCACATGTATGTTAAGTACCCCTTTTGATGTGCTCCCATAATACTCTCCACACAATCCTAAGAATATCTTACACTTCCCACGAGGTGGTATAATCTTATAGCCCCAACTAGACTGTGAATTCTTAAAAACAGGGACTATTTTATTCATGTTTGTCTCCCCAATGCATAGCATGGGATTTTATCTACAGAGAAGATCAATGTTTGATGAATAAATTAATTAATGATTGACAGGGAACTGAATTCAGGGCTCAGAGAACAGAGTTCTCTGCTACCTCTCATGATCTCCAACAAACATGGATGTTACTGGTCTTACAACAATTGTATTAGGGAGAGAAAAGAATCTTCTAATTACTTATAAAAAGAGAAGGTCATCTGATGAAATATGGTAAGACAGAGAAGTGATGGAGAGAAGGAGAAGAGAGGAATGAAGCCTGGCAATAATGCCTGATTTCCCCTTTAAGGGTACAAATTCCAATTCCCTGTAGACAGACACACAGATGGCAGGCATGGAGTCCCCTTAAAATACCTTCTACAGAGATGCCACTACTCTTCATGGGGGCATTATACAGACTTTTTTCTTTCTAAAATTTTTTAGCTCACAGGGATCCTAGAGAACATCTTGTCCACTGTACTTTCCTCATTTGCCCCATGAGGAAACCAGGGCCCAGAGAGATTAGGGTGACACGTGACCTCGGCGGCTGAATCTGGGGGAAAGCCCACGTTTCCAGACTTTTAAATCCAGTACTCTTTAATAATGACCTGAGTGTCTCTCTGCCTTAGTCAAGCTTGCAATTAGCCAAACCTAAGAGGCATTATCTTGCTGGAGAGGTACCTCCACAGCTCACAGACCTGGCCTTGCTGAGGCTGTGCAATGATGATCTGCCCAGGCTGGATGGTGGTTGTGGAGCTGGTGGTCTGCTGGCCTTGCTGCTGCCCCTGGACTTGGACGGCGGTGGGCTGCTGAGCCAGCGTGAAGTAGTACTGGACGGGCTCAGCAGGAGTCACAGATTGGCGTACCTCCTCCTGTGGGGTAGAAGGAGAGGCAGGTAAGAGGAAAAGAACCGACTCAGCAGCCGCCAGAGTGAATTTCCATTCTTCCCCCAAATGGACTCTATGCAGTTGCCTGCTGAATGCTGAGCTCTCCACATTTGAAGCCAAGGGAAAGTGGAATTCGAAGAGACCAGTTGTCCTAAATCAAACTAAAAATAACAGATTCTATAGGCTTCACAAAACATACAGCCAATTTTCTGAAGTACAGAGTAATCACCCATTGCGTGATGAGCTGCAAATGGGCAAATAATTACCGTAACTAAAAACCACACACCAGCAGTGCTTGTCAGTAAATGCTGTCAAGGCCTATGATCTCAGAACAGTGCTAATTGCAAGCACTGGAAGATACTACCCAAACGTTATGCTCGCAGGCCAGCTCCCAATCTCCCAAATAAGGAGCACTCTCCTTATTTTGTTCCCACCACCTCAGAAGGGACAGAGCAGGGAAAAGGGACATAGGGCTTTTCCAAGGTTGAAATTTCAGAATTAAATGTTAGAACTGAGAGCACCAGTAGGCAAATGCCCAGCTTTTCACAGCGTATTGAGAGCTCTGTGGTCACTGAGAGCCACATCTGTCCAGTGTCACAACTGGTTCTGGTTGTACTTAGCCACAGAAGCGCAACCCAGGGGGCCTGAAGGACAGCTCTCCGCTGGGGTGCTGCCTTGGCTGACTAAGGAGGTCGTATTCTGTCCGATCTGCAGGATGAAGAGACTTCCTTCTTCAGCTGACGTTTTCCATGGCAGAAGGAGTAAACAACCCTCTCCCAGCCACCTTGAGCTCACAGCTGAGAGTGTAGGATGTTTACACACACTACAGCATGGTTACAGCCTGAGGGTCCAGGGTTGGTCAGCCCCTGACCACCAACAGAGATTGGCATCTGTTCCGGAGGGCCCTGTGACACACGGTGCCCCTGCCTGAGACAACAAAAACAACAGAAACAAACAACAACTTGGGCCGACTGAGCAAAAATATTAAATTTACTCACTTCCTTATTCTGTCCTAAATTTGCAGGTTCAAGAAAAGATGAAAAGACACTTCTTCAAGATATACAGAACTTGTGGACTCCTTCAGAGCTCTCCAAAGTGACATTTACAAAGTCGGTACTGACCGCATCCCATCATTAGGTTAGGTGCCCTCACCTGTGCTTCCACAGTCCTTTCCTCATTACACTCTTTTGTCCTTGCTTGTCAAATTCACTATTTACCCTGCTAGAATGAAAACGCTATGAGGGCAAAACCTTGCTCCTCATTATTCCTACCATACATTCCCTTGTAGGCACTCAATAACTGCTTGCTGAATGATGGATTTATAGAGCCAGGCAGACAGTTACAGGTGGGAAAGTACAAGCTTACCTCATTTATTAAACTATTGTACTTCACAGGTGTTACATTTTTTACAAACTCAAGGCAAGACCCTCCACCAGCAAAAAGGTTACAACTTGCTTTACTGAGATACTTTATTACAGTGGCCTGGAACCGAACCTGTAATATCTCCCAAGAATGCCTGTACTCGCTTACTTTGGTGGCCTGGAACCGAACCCGCAACTATCTCCGAGATATGCCTATACTCTTTTTAAACTCAAGTTGCTAGCAGGACAGTCTCTTGAACACAACAGCTGTTATCAATAGAAAAGAATCCCTAAACTCTCTTTGCTACCTTTAGGATTTTGTGGTCACAGTGCGGGGAGAAGCTCATGTCCCCTGTAGAACAAGGCTGGGTATTCGTTTGCTTGCCTGGTGACTGGGGGCCCAGGATACTAAAACTAGGACTATTGATATCTAGCCTCTGAGGAACCTGGGTCTCTGCATGACGAGGTTCCTGGATGGCCATCCATACAGCCTAGGCGGACACTTATAACATGCAGGGTTTCTAAGCTAGTCCTCAAACATGAACTGCCTCCTAGGTTAATGTATTCTGTGCTTCATATCCAAAAAGTCCGCACCCTGACTGTGACTATGCTGAGGCAGAAGAGGAGCTCCCCTTCCATTTTCATATAGGTCTCAGTTTCCAGAACTTAACTGTGACGACGTCACCTCCATTTCAACTCCAACTTCTCACCATTATAAATCAAAGTCAGCCCTGTCAACTAGATCTTGGTAGTGACAGGGATAAAATACTGATACCCTCCTTAGCCAAGAAACAGAGGCCGACTTCTCTCTTCAAAGCTCTTGAAATGGGTTCAAAATATTTATTTTCCACTGATATCTCCCTTCCCACTTTATAAAAAATCATCAATCACTAGAGTCCAGACATTACTTGAAAAGGCTCCTGGGTGATGAGAAGGTACAGAAGACTGAGACCACTCCCAGAACCAACTTGTAGGAGGTTAGTGAGCAGGGAGACACTGGCATTTCCTAGCTCTCACCTGTGATTGTTCTGCCTCCAGTTATCCTTGACTGCAGCTGCTGCAAGTGAATATGGTCTTTATGCCAGACAAAAAGGAAACTCTTTAAATACCCCATTCAGAAGCCAAAATACCTCTTGCCAAAAGCTGTGAGAGGAGGTAAAGAACTTCTCCTATGCTGCCAACTATAGTCTCTTGTTTATGAACCAGGCAGTTATCTAGAAAACACCATCAAGTGGAGGCCCCTAGGTCTGTGTTGTGAGGACAAGGCATGACTGTTCTCAAATCACTAGAATGGAAGGAGGCATAGCTAAGTTCTTCGACATTCTGAAGACTCATTTGGTCAATGGAGGTCAAGCTAGCAAGGGAATGATTATGCTTGGTTTTAAGAGATGGGTGAAGAGAAAATGATATTTTAATGGGCAGGAACTTTCAACTCATAGCTTTAGTGGGGTAGAAGTCAGATCTCAACTACCTTCTGCTTTCAAATAGTCTTTACATGCTTCCCCGAAGAACTAGAGAAATTTCCAAGCATCTCTGAGAAGTCAAGGGCCTTAGATCCATAACTCAGTATTTCTGGCTAGTTCTTTTCCCTAGCAGGGGAACATCACTCCAAGTGCTAGAACAATCTCTGAATGACTAGATCAGTCCAGAATGGGAGACCTGCTCAGCTTTAGCAGTGGCCTCCCCAACCAGAGGGCTTGCTCTTGGAGTGTGTTCCAAAGTGGAGACTGACAAACACTACCTGAAAACGAGCAGTATCACCTCCTAGGGCCATCACTACAGCTATGTACAGCCAGCCCCAGACTGGAAAAAAGTATATTCACTTCAGTAGCAAGACTGAACTGCTGCCTCCTTCAGAAATGGTGCATTTTGGCGAGTAGGCGCTTTTAAAGGACTTAAGGAGGTGCCAGCCAATTTGGAGCCTGGGAAAAATTCACGTCTACAGAGAATTAAAAGTGCTATCTTAGAATTTCAGGCCAGCTTTCAGCAATCTCAACCTTTCAAAGGCCAGGCAGCAGCTGTCCCGAATAGGATGCCAATCAATGGCTTGAACACCTACAAAGAGCTGAATCCAGGCAGCAAGGAGCTGTTTCAGCTCGACACACTTTAAAAAGAGATGGATCCTAGCATTTTGAGTCAGGCCAGGATGGAACAAGGAGCTGTCTGAGGCCCTGAGAGAACCAAACACTGAGGACTCTGGAGGGTAGGACAGGACATGACCCTTCTCTCCAGCCAGTTGGTTCAGCGGGCAGCCCACAGAGAACAAGCAAGAGTTAGCGCAAGGAGCATGAGCAAGGCCTGATTTTGTCAGATCTCACTACCTTGTTTTTAAAGGGGTCTTCTGAAACAAATTCCAACAAGGAGAGCACGTGTGTTGTACCATGTGTTTTGAAGAAAGAGAAGTGGTCTGAATTCTCGTTGTAGTGACTTCTCAGAGAGGAGGGAAGCACCACCCTAAGAGGAGGAACTGAGCCCAGGGGCACAAACCTGCAATGTTTCAAAGGTGATGCGCAGCCGGGGACGACCGTGGCAGCCTGCCGCTGTAAACATCCGACTGAAAGCTCCTCTGAACACCTTACAGCTTCCAGTCAAGGATGTTTACAGTAGCAAAGACTGCCCAGAAAGAACGGAGACGCAGTGAGGCTCCCTGCTCTAGTAAGGAAGTGACAGAGGGGCTTGCTAACCCAAAGGCCCCCAGGCAGGGTCAGGATTACAAATGTCCTTTAAGGTGCCTATTTTTCCTATAGTTTCTGACTGGTTATTAATGAGACGGCATGGGAGTCACTGAATGACTCTGTTTCTAAGGATAATATACTATGAAATAATTCATTAAAAACACTTAAAATTTTATTAAAGCAAGCAGCTTTGCTCCTGTGAGACTGCCACTATTCCTCAAGTGTCTCTACTACACCTAGTTAGCCACGCAATCTGTGTGCCTGAAACAATGAGCTATACAGGATAGGGGTCTATTACAATGGCAATTAAGAGCTTTATGCACCCATGGTGCTGACAAAATAATCAGTGTGACTTTTGGAGAGGGGCCCACAGAAGGGAGGGAAGGGCAGACTTTCATGTTCCTTCTTATGATTGTGCAGAAAACAATTTATGTGGTGGTTCTCAAATTTGGTTGCACACTGAAAGCATCTGGGGAGCTTTAAAGTGCTGATGTCTGGGCCTCTCCCTCACAGGTTCTTATTCATCTGGTGTGGGGGTCGAGCCTGGGCACTGGTTATTTTTTAAAACCTAACGGGTGATTCTAATGTGTAACCAGAGCACTATATAGAGAACCACAACTGAGTAAGAGAAAAACAAAGTCCACTAACAACAATAACACTGTGCACATAGGCTGTTTCTTGTAAATCTAAAATCTGTCACTTGCTGAGAATGTTCTCCATCCCAGATTAAGAACTCTGATAGACTCCCTAGGAGACATTGAAATGAGCTTCCCCCTCACTGTTTATAACTGAAATCTTTAATTTTCATTTTGTCTATTTTCACTGAAATACTACCTCAGCGGCACTGAGTTAAAAGTATCCATAAATGAGTAACAGAAGGAGATGTTAAGGATGGATCTGGTCTACAGAAGGAGAAGCAAAAGGAACAGCAAATGACTTGTGTTGAGAGACAAAGAGGAGCATTATTTGACACCTATATGCAAGGCGTTCTTCAGTTAGCAGAAGCAAGAATGCCTTCCCAGCTCACCTGACGCTTTGGAGGTTTCAGTTCATCTCTTGGAACAATATCGATGAGAAAGTCAAACTGATCAAATTTTGTAATTGCCATGGCGATATCATTCCTCTGTAACAAAGAAAAGTTAGGTGAAAAATTAGCCTGGGGAGAAACTAGTTCACCTGGCTTTATACCCTCTAAGTTACAAGATGATGACTTCTCAGCCAAACCTAATAGCCATGGACAAGTCTATAGCTGAAATAAGCACAGCCGAACTCTAATAAACTTCAAATGATCAGACTTGCTGTACAGACATTGACAAAATTGACAAAAAAAGAGCTACCTGTAGCTCATGTTCCACAAACCATATGTTCAAGCCTCCAACTACTTCTACCATTGCTGGATCTTGCCCCAAGGTCCTCCCCACAACTGTTAAATTATCATCCACCTAAATCTGTACAAATCTAGGAATCTGAATTGGCAGGTTTCTGGTCATTCTGTAGTTAGCTAGGTTTGTCTACCATTTGCTATTATAACCTTTTTAAGGCTCAAAATAATATTTTACCTCTTTAGTTAAGCAGTTATAATCTATTTTGAATCTTCTAGCTAAAATCTCATTCGATAACTTTTTGCAATATATCCTAGTCATTGATCTATATCTTAGCTCCCACAAGGCTATAATTTTTATTTTGGAATTCAAAATTGCAATGTTAAATCCATGGTTTAAATCTTGTTTAATGTGATATGAATACAAAAAGTCTGAAGTTCCTAGAATAGAAGCAGGGTGGGCAGTTGACTAATGATACTGAAACCAAGGCCTGCTCTGGAAGGGTTCTAAGAGTGACAGTGACACTCCCTTTCTTTAAAAAAAATAAAAGGACTTTTTAAAAACTAAAAACCAACATACTATGTATACTTAAGATATAGGTACTTCACTGTATAAAAATTTCAAAGAAAAAGAAAATAACAGGAAAAAAAAGTGAATTCTAATGAATGAAATGCATGTTCAAATATTTAGGGAATAGTGAACTTTGAAATTGATTTAAAAATAGATAACTTGATGAACAGAGGAACAGATAAATATGGGGAAAAAACAAGTAAAATGTTAATGACAGGATCCAGGTGGTAGGTATATAGGTGTTCACTATAAACTTTGCTTATATTTGATTTTTTCTGAAAAAATGTTGGAGGGGGGTCAACCCATTAACAGAAGTCCTTAGCAACCTCTATATATCTTATCTTAAAAGAAGGTGACTCATCAGACAAAATAGGAGGGGATAGAACTTTTGTTTTTTCCTTCCCTTGTCTGTGATGGCCCCAAGCCACTGAAATGCAAAACTATAGTCTACCCTTCTTGCCAACCACGAGGTTGATAATAAACCCATCCTATTAAAGCAAGGAACATTTTAAGGCTGCCAGGACTCATTTAAGATTAGTATGATATAGTATCACATTCTTGATGATGTCACCTACTCGAGCTATCTAAATGATTCATCTAAGGATGGAATGAGTAGGAAAAAAAGAATAATCACCTCCAAATGTACTCCAAAGTGTTCTTTAGTATTTTAGAAACATACACTTAAATTGGTCTTTTTAATGCAAATATTTTACTCAATTATTACTCATATTCAGTAAAATACAGAAATCTTAAGTATACAGCTTGATGAATTTTAATAAATATATACCCAGGAAGTTATCACCCAGAAAAGAATACAAAAAGCTTCCTTCCATCCCTTTCCAGTCAATTACCACCACCCCCCACCTCCCCCGGGCAATGTAAGGCAACCACAACTCTTATTTCTATCACCATAGATGGTGACAGTATATGGTATCATGTGTTATGTAATTTTTTTCTCTGGTTTCTTTTGCTTAACATAATATTTTTGAGATTCATCCATGTTATTGTGTGGATCAATAGGTTTTTTTTCTTTTTACTGTTTAGCAATCCATTTTATAAATATATCAATTTTTTTGTATATTCCTATCTTAATGGATACTTGAGTTGTTTCCAGGTTTTGGCTATTATAAATAAGGTTGATATGAACATTCTTATACAAGAATGTCCACAGTCTACGGCCATGCCACCCTTAATGTGCCCGATCTCGTTTTATCTCAGAAGCTAAGCAGGGTTGGGCTTGGTTAGTAGCTGGATAGGAGACCACCTAAGAAAACCAGGTGCTACAGGCGTTTTAAAAAAAAAAAAAGAATCTCCACACTTTTGGTTGTATGACGAGGATTGGAATGGAAGAGTGAGGATATGTTTAACTTTACTAGAAAGTGCCATATAGTCTTCCAAGTGAGTGCACCACTTTATGTTCTGACCAGCAGTATATGAGTTTCAGTTGCTCCATTTCCTTGCCAACGATTGGTACTGTCAGTTTTTTTCCCTTCAGTTTTAGCCATTTTACTGGGTATAAACCACGATCTCATTGTCATTTTATTTATTTATTTTTTAATGAAACGCTTCACAAATTTGCGTGTCATCCATGCGAAGGGCCATACTAATCTTCTCTGTATCGTTCCAATTTTAGCATATGTGCTAATGAAGCGAGCTCTCATTGTTTTAATTTGTATTTCCTAGATGACAAATGATGCTATGTACCTTTTCATATGCGTATTGGTCATTTGGACATATTCTTTTTTGCATATTCACGTGTTTTGTCCATTTTATTTTTTAATCTGAATTGATCTTGAAGTAGCTTTAATTGGATCTCTCTAGATCATCGAGGCAGCATAAAGTAAGTTCTCCTTCAGTGAAAGTCTAGCTGCACTAGGGGGAAGAGGGAAGATTTTTGTCTGTTTTGCGTATTAATCCCCAGGGCCTAAAATAGTACTTGGCATACTGTGAGTGTTCAATAAATATTTGTAGAATACATAAATAAATCTATGTTCTTTCAATTTTGGAGGTAAAGGGACACAAGAGGAAAAAACATAATTAACTTTCTTGGCTTTGTTGTTAAAGTACTACCCTGTCTTAAATCTGTCATACCCTCCTCTTCTGGGAAACCTTTCCTCCAAGAGCTGTGGCCTGGCTGTTCAGGGGAGGGCCTCTACAGGCAGTGACCAAGGGGTCTTCATACAATATAAATATTGATTTGCTGGATTCAAATAAAAACAAACAAAAAAAAAATGGGGAAAGGAGTCCCAGGAAAGCAGACAAGGAACAAAAAAGCTAATGAGGTTAGTGAGACTGAGTCCTCCTGGGACTGTCCTTTCCTGGAATCTCTCAAGGCTTCTAACCAGAAATTGTTTATCTATCTGAGAATATATAAATATCACCATAGCTTCTGATTATAGTGAGGGCTCACCAACTGAAGAGTTCAGTCACTGAGCTGTGAAAACCACAGAAGAATTGGAAAATAAGATTCTTGGTGGGGAAAATATTAGCATGGCTATTAGGTATGCCTACCTCCCAACAGTAGAGGAAGAAGCCAATTATACACATTGGCCTGACAGAGGCCTAAGGAAGAATAATCTCTGGTCCAAAGACATGCAAGAGAAGCACACAAAGGCAACTGCGTGTCCAATTTTCCCAACATGAGTCTACAACATTACCTGTAGAGTCCGGCGCTTATTATCCTCTGTGTGGATCCAGGCTCGAAGAGTCAACTCTGTGATAAAAATCTGGGCTGCCTTGGCAAAGAGCACAGGGGCTTCTGCACTGATCATCTGCAACAGACGTAGGCCCTCCCTGTCAGTCACCAGCAAGTCACTCAAGCCAGTCAGTTTGTTCCTGTCCTGCCATTGGACTATGGGGCAAGGATTGGAAAATAAGTACGTGGTAGCCTCAGGAAATTCCAAGGTAAAATAAATCCATGAGTAGGGACAAAGCAGGTAGCAGACAGAAGGAAAGAGAAAGAAAGAATACTTAACTGTATAGCACCTATCATGTACTTTCTTACTCTCATAATAGCCTTTCAGAGAAACTATGGTTTAGGAAAGATAAAGTGCTTTGCCCATGGCCATAAAGCCAGTAAGTAGTACAGGGTTTAGGTCCTAATCCAAGAAGAGACAAAGTGGGGAATAAGTTTGAGAACCAATGGATTTAGGTAAAAATCTCAGGCTGCCCATCCTTTTGGGCATTATTTTTTATATACTGCAAAAGAGGATAACCTTCCAGTGTTGCTGTGGGAATCCAATGAGATGATATATGTAAAAGCACCTCGCACAGGGCCTGGCACATAGTAAGTGCTCCAGTAATGTAAGCTCTTGGTCAAACAAGGCTCTGAATCCTTAGTTAGGTGGTCTTCACAGAATAGAGCCATGGGAAGGGCTCTGCAGTTAAGGAAGCAGGAGATGAAAACTGGGATTTTGGTTTTCCTATGCTAGGTCTGTCACTTTTAACCTCTTTTCTCTATTTCCATACCTATATAAAATGAAACTAATAATTTTTATCCTACTAAATCTCACAAGGTTACTATAAGGAAGAAGTAAGCTAATGGAAGGGAAAACTGCTGTGAACTGTTAGCTTTCTATACAAATACAAAAGACTATTAATTTTGAGTGGTTAAGGAGAGAGAGTTGCTCATTTCCTCAGTTATAGTGGGAGGTGAACCCCTAGAAATACAGAAATAGCCATCGTCAAGTAAATTCTCTCTCAAGTATAATTCATGTAAAACAACTCACAGATGCAATATCATTATCAAATATTTCTTAGAGTTCAGATCAACAAACTAGAGATTGTAAAAAGATGTTAAAAAGATGGCACTGTCCTGTTGATTTGATGACACATGTTTACAATACATGGTGAAAAGAACTGGGTGCCTGAAAAGCACTCAGCATCTTTTCAAAATCTAGAAAGAAGATAGCCCTAATTTTCAGAGAAGCATCATATAATATAACAATTAAAACTGTTCAATTTCAGCTCACTTAATAATTTTACCAGGAACTAAATAAAGCAACAATATTTTCATTTTTGTTTAAACTTTGAGCCCTAGAGAAATGAGCAATAATCTACCAATCATTTTATTTTCAATATAAATAATAAAAATGAATGTGAATTCACCTTCACATCTTCATCCAGTTTCATAATCTTCTTAATACGAGCCAGTGGGAGTTCCTGTACTCGGAAATCTTTCTGAAATGAGTAATAAAAGGTGGGGACAATCAATAGGGTACGACAGGCAGCACAACACAAATTGGCTTAGTCCCTCCTTCCAGAAAATATGGCAGAAAAGAAGGTGCAGCAAAATTCTTCTTAACTCATGCAGAGCTTCAAACATTTAAAAGATTTCAAGATAAACTTATGATGGCTTCTCACAATACCCTCCAGAAAAATAGCTCCAAACGATACCAGATTCTTTGCCAACACAAGACAGAGGTGCATTATGAGTGTCTTTTTCTTTTCAAGAAAGTTTACCAGTATGCAATATGCACATTAAAACAAGATTTTTGCCTCGGGGCAGTCTTCTAAGTTGTCAGTTCTTTCTTCTATTCAAGGACTACAAGGGCAAGTGCCAGCAGCACCTGACCGCAGTGACCCACAGTTCTCTTCAGCCAATGTGATACTGGCTATTTCTGACCTTTGCACTAACCTGCCACCAGAAACTGGGGAGAAACTCCTTTCCCACCACAGTAAAAAAGGGCTTGTCTCCAAAATTTGGTTGGGGGTGGGGCAGGAAGCATATGAAAGAAGGTCAAGTGTGAATTTATCAGCTGGCTTTTTGGAATAATCCTGGCACATTTTTTCTTAACTAACAAGACTGGGCTGAGGGAAAACCACATCCTTTTACTGTGAATAGGATTTAGGAAAGTGCTTTTAACCAGCACTACTCAACTATTTGTGATTAAGCCCTTTTTTTGTTTGTTTTATTTTGATACCACTGGTATTTAAACACATGGCCAATGATGGATGCAATTCTAGAAATAAAAATCAATTCTGGGTTTCAGAGCTGCAATGAAGAGAAAGGTACAAAGGCAGAGATTAGCTAAAATCAGCAAAATCCCTGCTGGGACTAGGTGTCAAATGATTGATTCTATAAGTGGTCTGAAATGTGACTCACCAAACCCAATATGCTCACCTGGGAATTTGGATCATCACATTATGGAAAGAACAGCTGTTATTTGAAATTTCACATAATTAACATATAAGTGAACTTTCTTTTCCAAGACCAACAGAAAACCTTGACTCTATGTCAAAGAAGGCAGTGGGGGCATTTTGGAAAAACATAAACGGCTTATCCAAAAACCATTTTATGATTACAAAAGAAAGAGTATTAGGATAAAATGTACACCAAGACATCTAATTTCCCCATGCAAACCCAACAAGCTGCTTGGCTACCACTCACCTCTACAAACTTTCAACCCTAATTTTTCATGTTTTCCTTTTTCAAATTAGGCATCAATATTTTCTATGAAGCCTCTACTAAAACTAACCCGGGAGTAGCAGAGGTTTAGAAGTCCAGTTTATTAAAGTTTCACCAAAAGGAGACAGTGGGACACATTCTTTCTATTCTTATTATTCTCCTCTTTCATTTACTCAACATGCAACTCAACTAATATGATACCTACTACTATGTAAAAGATGCAAATAAATTCTTATCTTTGAACAATGTCGTTTGTTAGAGACTGTCATATCAAAACATTATAATATCCTATCCTATATTAGAATGGGGGTGTAGAATCCCACAGAGACAAAGAAGGAAATTACCAGCTGGCATTGGGGGTTGGAGTGAGCAAGAGAAGTCGACATTGTTCAACAGAGGGGCTGACATCTGAATTGTGTTTAAGGGATGGTAGAAATTTCCTTGTGGAAAAAGTATGAGAATGTTATTCAGAGGGAACAGCATGTGCAGAAGTACAGACACGGCCTATTCAAGTTTTAGATGTATGACCTTAGTACAGAAGGAAACAACAGGAAAGGGAATGCTGGACTGGGGCCAGACTTTAAAGGGATTTAAAAAAAAAGTTTCACCACAGAAATCGATCACTGATCTTCCTTCTTGTGTGGTGTATCACAGAAAATGATGATGCTAAACAGAAATGCCAAAGACAATGCTGGGGATGATGATTCCTCTGGAAGGCCTCCCAGGATGATACACACAGCACAAGATTATGACCACAAGATTTAGCTCTCTTGCAAGTATGCTCTCATTTAACTTGGCTACTGAATATAATTTCCATAAGATTGTTCCAAGGTTACTTAATCAAAGCCCAAAAGCTGATAAAAAGATCTCCTTCCCCAACTTGAAAGGGTAAAATACCACTTTTAGACTTTCTATGAAACTATCATTTAACCAAAAGCAACAAGAAAGGATAAAGAGATTACATCATTCCCACCTTGGAGAGGTGTAAAATTCACAAAAAGCCCTGCTCTAAGCCCTACTCAAGCATTTTCTTTCATGACAAACTTTCTCATGATCCCCAAACCTTGAGATCTCAAGGGGCAGTGTGTGAAAAGTGGATCTTCAGATGTGTGTGTGGTTCATTACTGCTGACAACAGCCCAGTTTTCTATACTCTCATCCTAGCTTTCCAGTCACATGGAAAGGGTTATGTATGATAGGCTTACTGGAGAGGGGAGCCCTTTCACTATCAGTAGGTTGAGGTCCACTAAACTGACTCTCAATTCCATGCTCCCTTTGTTATTGGCAACCATGCAACTGATGTGAATAACATCTAACTACCCAAGCAGAAGAGCAACTGAGACATACTGACTTTTTCTTTCTACTCTTGGGAGTGTTATCAGGAAGGTGGAAGAACAGAATTCTCTCTGAGAACATTTCCTGTGCTCCTGACCACAACCAAAGAACTACATTAAAATGTTGCTATCTGAAACTGCTGAGTTTCAAAAAGTCTGAATTCACTCAATGAGAGTTAAGAGCCAAAGATAAGTCAATGGGGCCTCAGGCTGCGCTAAAGAACATCCAGAGTTTCAAATAATGATGAGAAATCTTTTCTAGGCCCTACCCAGTCAGGGATTCCCGCAAAGTCAAGATTCTAATCCTCTCAAAAGCAGTGATTCTCAACCCTGGTTACATGGTAGAATCGCTTAAGGAGCCTTTGAAAAATAAGATGCCTGGCTCTACCCCAGACTAACTGACTTAGGAACTCCTACCATCACTTTTGAAAACTCCCCTGATAACTGTGATCCACAGTGAGGGTTAAGGACCACTGCTTTAAATCCTTAATACTCAAAGTGAGGTCCTTATACCAACAATGGCACTGCCTAGGAACTCAAAAGAAATGTAGAATTTCAGGCTCTGCTCCAAACCTACTATATCGAAATCTGAATTTAAACAAGATCCTCGTGTGGTTCATTAGACAACAAAGTCTGAGAAGCACTGCTCTGTAGGAAGGGCTCAAAGAACACAGGACCTGCTTTATAACAGTCCACCAACCTTCACCTCCAAGTTCTTGTTTAAATGGTTATCTGATTTGACTGTAATATTAGAAATGCCATCGCCTTAATCTGGAGACACTGAAGAATGAAAAGATGTAACTGGCAATTAAAAGAAAGTGATTTAGGAATTAAATTACAGCTAATTGAAGGCCGAATGGGATGGAGGGAGTAAATTAGGCGAGGATTAGATTTTTCTTTTCAAGATGCAGCACTGTTGCCTCCCTACTTGCCCCCCAAAAGACAAACTTAGCTTTTTCTTGCCCACTTTCAAAGAGGCCTAGAGGGGTAAAATTCAATGTCAAAAAGTCTGTTAATTATTGTTCTCAGAGCTCTACTAAGCAGGAAAATGGTATTTTTACATAATCATCTTGGTGTACAAACATTTTGGTATGGTTTTTAACCAACTTCGATTCCAACTGAATAACATCTAGATTTATGGACAATTACAGAGCTCTTAAGAGTGAGGAGAGCATGATGGCCAAACTGAGATGAAAGATAAATGCTTTTCCAGAACTCAGACCAAAATGACTGGGGTCAGTATTTCCAATACATCATGAAATATATCACACCTAGCAAACTTCAATTACTTGTTTTTGGAACAATCTGTGTCCCAGCCTTAGAGACCACTACACTTTGTGAATATTCTCATAAGTTTTATTTATATTTGGATAGTTTGAACATATGGAGTTTTTAAAAACCTGTTAGAAATGTTGAGATGTCAAACTAAGAGGTTCAGACATATCTGAACAAGTCTGGTTACAAGTACTGTTGAGTTCTAGAAAGGCACAGACTAACTGCTAAAATTTTTGGCCAAGTTACACAGGCAGAGGTGCAGTCAGAGAAGCAGATGCCTTCATGTGCCATAGGGAGAAGGGAAAATAAGAGTCTCATAAAGGGAAAGATCACTCTGACTTTATTGGACTGCATTCTCATTCAAACGTGGCACTGATATTGCTTCACGCTAAATCTAGAGCAGAGCAGTCTAATTCATTCACATATTTATTGTGTACCTATTATACGCCAAATGTTCTAAGCATCTGCTATAAGATACCATAGTAGCATTCTAGGAGTCTTTTTCAAAGGTACATGGGAAGAAAATCGTAGTTAGCCATCAATAGAAAAATGATTAAAGACAACTTTCCTCCTTGCTCTTCTTTCTCTTATTCATAACACTTGAACTAGATCTGAATCCCTCAAAGTAACCTCTGATGGACTAGCTGCCCAGGTACGAAAAGGTGGTCAACAACATAATGTGCTTTCAAATTTAAAAATTAAATCAAGTAAGGAAAAAAATCAAAGCCCACACTCATGTTCACTGCAGCATGATTCACCATAGCCAAGAAATAAAAGCAACTCAAATGCCCACTAGCAGATGAATGGATAAACAAAATGTAGTATATATACATATATGGAGAATATTCAGCCTTAAGAAGGAAAGAAATCCAGTCACATGCTACAACATGGATGAAACTTGAAGACATTACGCTAAGGGAAGCCAGTCACAAAAAGACAAATAGTGTATGGATGCACTTATATGAAGTACTTAAGAGTGGTGAAATTCATAGAAACAGAAAGTAGAATGGTGGCTGCCAGGGGATGGAGAAGGGGAAAGGGCAGTTGTTTTCTAATGGGTATGGAGTTTCAGTTCTGAAAGATGAAAAAGTCCTGGAGATCTGTTCCACAGCAATGTGCATATATTTAACACTAGTGAACTACATATTTTAAAATAGTTAAGATGGTAAGGTTTATTTATTTATTTTTTTACCACAAGTTTTTAAAAAATCAAAGCCCAACGAAGTACAGAAAAGTGGTGAGCCTGAACCCCTAGAGTTTCTCTTGCCACTTGCCTGATTCTGGATTTGTTTGTGCGCTCAAGCTTGAGCGCAGACTTGGGGTGCTGGCCTAGCCCCACCACACACCCCAGGAGGGCACTAGTTCTACACCAGGCTGACCCCAGCACTAAAACCTGATTATATTAACCGTGAGAGTATCCCCTCAAAATGAACAAAAGACACCACTTTTGACTTTATAATTTCATTTTTTCCTACTTTCTCTTTTATATCTGAGACAGTATAGATAACTACCACCTCTTAATTGCAGAAGAGAACTGATGACTTTTCAGTGGAAATCCAAACTGCTTAAAATCCCCCATATAAACAAACACAACCCACAGGTACATCCAGAATATGAATTAGTTTTTTACCCCAGAAGTCAGTGGACATCAATCACAATGAGAAGTTATTTTATTTATTCACTACTTGTTTATAGTCTGTCTCCCCGACCAGAATATACGTTCTATGAGTACAATGATCTTGTCTGTCAGGTTCACTGCTGGGTCCACAGTATCTTGTATCGCCAACTGGAGGTGCATAATAAGTATTTGTTGATTGAATAAATAAACTATATGTCAGAGGTTAAAAGCCACTAACTAAAAAACTGCAACATTATTTCTACATTAGGAAGGAATCCAGTGTCTGCTCTGCCAGGATGCTAATACCTTCAAGGCAGGAGTGACACATCTAACCTAAAGAGCTCTTTCAGTATTTGCTAAAATGACACCAAATGGAACATTCATTAAGGACCTAACATTACACTCTGAAAATATTCCAATTCTAACATGTCTCACCTTCTGTTACCATTGTTATACCCATTAATCTTACCCTCAACCCCTACTACCCACATAGTAACCTCCAGCCACTCTGAACTTCTTGCTGTTCCTCTACACATAAGGAACATCCATGTCCTTACAAACCTCCATGCCCTTCTCTCTGCCCAAGATATATTCTCCCCCTCCTTTTCCCACCTGGTGAATGCTTACTCATATTTCAACACTCAACAAAATGTCCCCTTTTCTTATAGCCTCCCTAACTGAAACAGGGAGGAACTAGCATTGTCTTCTCTGCTCCCATAGCACTTTTACTGCTTCATATTCTTCACTGTGCCTGACTCAGTAAGTATTTAATACATACTTATTAAATAAATGACTCGTTATAATTATTAGATTATACACTCAACAGCCAGGGTTATATTTGATTCTTTTAAGTCGGTGGCTCTCAACAGGGGATGATTTTGACTGTAGCCCCCAGCAGACATGTGCCAATGTCTAGAGACATTTTTGGTTTTCACGACTGGCAAGAGGTGGGAGTGCTACTGGCATCTAGTGAGTAGAGGCCAAGGATGCTGCTAAACATCCCATAAAGCACAGAACAGCCCCCACAACAAAGAATTACCTGGCCCAAAATGTCAGTAATGCTGCTGTTGAGAAACCCTAATCTAAAAATATCGTAAAACCTG